CAACGCTAAAAGCCCTCCCTACTCGGGCGATCATCTTCATAGCTTTAATATTTAATGCTATGCTGAGGGTGGAATTCTTTCCTAAGCAATGGAAGATGGCAGCGATTGTAATGATCCACAAACCAGGAAAGCCAGAGAATGACCCAGAATCGTACCGCCCAATAAGTCTGCTGTCGGCACTTTCCAAAATATGGGAGAGACTTATTGCCAATCGTCTTGGCAATATCATCAGTGAACGTCACATCTTACCGGACCATCAGTTTGGCTTTAGAGAAGGACACGGAACTGTGGAGCAGGTTCACCGGCTGACAAGGCACATCCTTTAGGCATTTGATGACATGGAATACTGCAACGCAGTTTTTGTCGATATGCAGCAAGCATTTGATAGGGTCTGGCATACAGGGCTCCTCAGCAAAATCAAAAACCTCTTCCCAGCACCTTACTTCGGGATTCTACGATCGTATCTGGAGGGTCGGAAATTTATTGTCAGAGTACGGAACACATACTCGACTCCTTGCCAGATGAGAGCTGGAGTTCCTCAGGGCAGCGTATTAGGGCCGCTGCTTTACTCCATTTACACGGCCGACCTACCCTCCCCTACCGTGCGCCACATGGAGAATCCTGGCAAAGCCCTTCTCGCTGCTTACGCAGACGATATAGCGGTGCTATACAGCTCAAAATGTCCCACTGAGGCTGCGAATGGAGTGGAGAGCTACCTAGACACACTAGTAGCATGGTGCCAAAGATGGAACATGAAGATCAACCCACGCAAGACCACCAACACTTGCTTCACCCTAAAAACCTTCATCAACCACACCCCGCCTATACGTTTAGATGGCGAAACACTTGATCAACCTTCGCAGGCAAAGTATCTTGGCATCACCCTTGACAAACTGACCATGGTATGTGCGCGGCTCAACTCTACATCGAGATCTGAAACTGTTTACAGTGGAGGAACAGATTGGGAGACACACTAGTCGATATAGTGAGAGACTGGCTAGACACCGGAGCAGACTAGCGAGAAGATTGCGTCCTGCGAGACCACTAAGGCAATTAAAACGCTTGGGTTTTGCCAAAAATATTAGATAAGTTTGTAACGAACCTTCGGTTTATCCCGAGTCTAAGCTGGGCTAGTTTCAGCTGACTGTGGATTCGTTGCCAACAAATTTATTTGTTGAAGCCCCTGCGATAATTAATTAGTCTTGTGGTTTAGGTTTTATAACGCAGTGGTATATTTTCTTAAATAAATATGAAATGTACAAGTCACGTATTTAAATGGATGCTGGCTCGCTGGTTTGCTTAGCGACGCACACCTACTGAGCGCTGGTTCAACGCACTCCGGCTGGGAGAGTGTTGTGCTAAACACGCTAGCTCACTGTAAGGATTTGAGAAACGCCAGGATCTGGATCTGTAAACTCTGGCGGTTCGCCAGCTATGCCGATCTCTCCTACTATCTCGCTCACTCACAGTACAACGCTAGCTTCGTTCACTCACAAGCACTTCTCTTGCGCACGGCTACGCGAACTCACCCAGGTGTGCAGGCCTCGCTTACGTTGCTGATATGCACCGATGTCCTGATCGGCGCCTGCTGATGATCTGCAAGGATTCCCACTGGATGTCCTTGCTGTTCCCACGATGTCCTTGCTGTTCTCACGATGTCCTGGGAGTCCTGTTTTACCACTCGCGTTGACTTGATTTCGACACTTTCTTCACTTTCACTTTTATAAATTTCGACGGCAACACTCTCTCGTATCGTTTCGACTCCTTTTGACTTTTTTGACCTCCTGTATGGAGCTGCTGGTGGCCTTTTATACCCCAGCCGCAGGCCCTGCCTCGTGTGGTAACGGGGCCTGTTCGGCTCTGGAGCGGGGCCTTCCTGCTGCTCGTGCCCATAAAAACGGTAAAGTGGCGTGATCTGGGTGACGCCACTTTCCCGCCAAATTGCGTGGCAGCCTCCCATTGGCCGAAGTACCGTTGTTGCCATGCGAGTGAAAACGTCCACTGCTATCACCCGGCCCGAACGGCACCTCGGCTAACGGTCACCGATGATCGTCATGCGTGCGACGCGAACCCATTGCTGAATCTGTAGGAGCGAAAGCGCCCGCCTCTAACAGGACTTTGACCCCCCTTTCCAGTGCGAGGGTCGCTCCTACAGTATTCGCGTCGCTGTGTGGAGCAACATGTATATGCACGTATATGCATATAAACGCACAGCAAATACGTACGCCCATATACACTCATACGTGCATACCTATATTGCTCCTCACAAGTTTAGTTTAGGGATATTTGTAAATATATATTTGTAAGTCCTCCTGAATACATCAGAGGGTTAGGTTCTATATAAATAATCTAATTGTGTTGTTAAGGTACTATACTTGCATTGTTCAGATTCAGCGCTTAAAATAAATATAAAAAAAAAAAAAAAAAAAAGTAAGTCGAACTCCAAGGAGACTCAACTGAAGGCAGCCAAGGGATTTAATCCTCCGTTCTCCCCATAGGAGAAGAAGATGAAGAAAAGAAAAGAAAACCTATCAGTCGTTATTATTTTTGTATTGTGTACATATTTGTAAATATATGAATGAATAGCAAAAAAGCACACAAAGGGGTTACTAAACTACCCCGTACGGCTTTAACAAATAAAAATAAAAAAAAAATTATACATGTTTCGATTAAAATATTTTAGGTGTTTGTCAGAAGTCCCTAAGTTTTCCTTTAATCCACTTTTGGTGTGAAGCAAGCCTTTTAAAGTCTCCGTGTCTAATTTGTTTCTAATTGTCTAATTAATTTCTGAAAATAAACGCTCAACATTAGCACTGCTATGTGGCAAAATAAGCAAATTTTGGGTTAAACATGTGGGTTGAACTTCCCTTTTTTACGTTTGAAACATAACGCCAAAAGGCGTCTGGCGGTACCGATTCCTCTTGGTTGGAGTTACGTTTGCTTCTTCGTCGGTGTCACTTTTTTAAAATTTCCATTTTTTGTAAATTCACATTAATTTTTTTCTCTCCAATTTCAAGCCCAAAAAATGTAGTTTTTAGGGTATTTTGCAATATTTTTTAAAAGTACGTAGTTTTAGTCTCATCACACGTAGGCACGTAGATCTCTTTTAAAATACGGAGATCTACGTAAAAAGACGGATGGTTGGCATCCCTGTCTGCAATATACCTGCCTCCCAACCAATCTTGGACAAAAGACGACTTTGAGCAACTAATTCTTAGCTTGGGCAACAGATTCATAGTTGGTGGTGATTTTAACGCAAAGCATCCCTGGTGGGGTAACAACAGGTCATGTTCTCGAGGGAAGCATTTGCAAGAAGCCATTGCCAATAGTACGTGCGAAATCCTAGCCACTGGTGAGCCAACCTTCTTTTCGTACAACACCCGACTCACACCATCTGCACTGGACTTCTTTATTAGCATTGGAATCGAGAGAAGTAAGCTAACAGTTGAAAGTAGGTACGAGCTCTCTTCTGATTATTTGCCTATCATAGCAACAGTGCATGCTGCACACCAAAACAAATCTAAGAGGCAATATATTCTCCCTAGAGGTTCATGTGTAGAGGTTTTTCAAACTGAACTGGCTAGCAGAACCAATCTCAACATGGAAATAAACAGTCCGAAAGATATCGAAGATGCAATTTCAATCTTCATGAGAAACGTTTCTTTAGCTGCATCTTCTGCCACTCCAGTAACCCAATGCCCACAAATCCCACATCGAAGAGATATTCTCCGCCCATATGCTGACGCGCTCATAAGACTTAAAAGAAGGGTAAGAAGTAGTGCTGGGAAAAAGATCGATCTAGCAAACGATATATCGATGTTTCATATCCATCGAAAATATCGATGTAGAAAACTTCGATACTTGATATATCGCCATCACTATACCATTAATTCCCCATCACTTGAATTAAAAGCGTGGGATAAGACTGTCAGGTAATTTGCAAATTATTTTAACAATATAATTCAAATACTAACGTAAACCCACTTTTCATTTAGGATTTTGGTGTTGGTAGTGTTGTAGTGTAAGGCGGCCTTTTTTGCCCACCTTACATGTTTGTAGGTAATAAGTAAAGATATCGAATGAAATAGAGTTTTGTTATGGTGAATGGGATTTGAATAAGGATTTGAGGCATAGTTTGATTTTGTAGTGATTAAGGGAAATGAAATGGATTTTGTTGCAGATTTTGATTTGGTAGATAGTAAGGTTGTATTTTGAAGTGTATTATTAGAATGAGAGTTAGTTTGTAAGAGTGGATTTCGATATAGATTTTGGTTTACATTTTGAAGTCATTTATAAGTTGATAGGAGTTAGTTGTTATTAGAATAAGCGTTAGTTCGTAAGGTAGCACTAAGTAGTTAATAATTAGATGTAAGTGCCGTAGCGATTAGCCTTAGAAATTAAGCGAAATTCAAATGAGTGGGCGGGCACGCGATCAGCAATGCAACCGTGCAGTTCGAAAGCTCGCGGTGGTGAATTGCATTGCTGGTCGCGTGGTAAAATCTGCACAGCGGCAGAAGAGGATTGAAAGCTGCGTGCAGTATTTAGTCAGTCTGGAGCTCTCGATGTGAGCAGACGCGCTCAAAAGGGGAAAATAGAACTAACTAGCAGATGTAAAGGCTATAAGGCGACAAGTTTAATAAAGTAAGGAAATGTACGTAGAGATGGTTGCTTATTTATTCGTAGCTAGTATAATAATCAATTTGTTAGTTTACTAATCATAACTAACACTAACTGGTAGTTTGAACGAGGGCAAATCCCGTTCGCCAGAAGGTTAAAACTCTGGCAGTAAAATCGCGTGGTCTTGAGTGAGCGCCGGCGGCAACGCTGGGCGTTCCTCGATCCGCGGTCTACCGACCGTAGTAACCCCACTAAAATTCCACAACACGCTTTCGCAGCCCCGACCTCCGCAATCTGGAGTGCGCTTGATCGCGCCACTCGATCGCGGCCCGCGTGCAAACGCGTGGGCGTGGGCGTGGTCGGCGAGCTCAGGCCACGTGGTCGCCTAACCTATACAACTTCCCCCCCCTCTCCCATTTCTCTAACTCAATACGTCCCGTATCTACTTACAAATTTCTTGTGAGTTATGGCCCTGGGCAGACTGAGACTCTGACCCCGGCTGGAAAATAATGTAACCTTACAGTAGAGAAATGGATAAGTTTTTAAAGAGCAAGGACAATGGCGAAGGTAAATATTATTTTACTGCTTATGTCAGCCACACACGTGGTCTGCAGCTTTTGCGTTTTAAAACAATGTAACAAACACGCATTTGTTTGTAGATTGCGACGCGGATAAGGAAAATGGAGAGGAGGAGATACCACGTAAGAGGACCAAATATGGTATGTCTGGGGTATGGGATTATTTTAAAAAGTGTGCGGATGGCAAGACTGCCAAATGTACAAAATGTGGCCAAATATGCCAAACAAGTGGCAATACCACAAATTTGTCTGCTCATTTAATAAGAAAACATCCCAATTTGAGCACCATTGAAGAGTCGAAGGCTGCAGGCCCCATCTCAACGCTTCTTCAAAAAAAATATGATGCCTCATCAGCCAGGAAAAAAACACTGGACAGTGCGCTTACAACGTACATTACGTCTGATCGTCGCCCATACTGTGTAGTGGAGGACAAGGGGTTTCGGCATCTCGTCGAAGTTCTTGATCCTCGCTACCAGCTTCCATCAAGAAGAACATTGCGCGATGTCTGCATACCAAATCTCTTTATAGAAATGAAGCAGAAACTGCGCGAAATTCTTGATAAGATTGAGTTCTGCGCTGTTACTACTGACGGCTGGACTTCAAAAGCGAATGAAAACTATTTATCAGTTAGTTGTCATTTCATTACTGAAGAGTTTGAGATGCGGACAGCGGTTCTGTCAACTACAAAACTTAAAGAAGAAACAAATCATTCCGCACAAAACATTGCCAATTCTCTACGCGATGTATTCAATGAGTGGGGAGTTGCACAAAAAATAACGGCAATCGTAACTGATAACGCATCGAACATGAAAAGCGCTTGCGAAATTCTTTCAAAAAGTAATGTTCCATGCGTAGCGCATACAATTAATTTGATTGTACAAGAATGTTTGGCAAATGAAAATTTAAAGCCTTTATTGGCAAAATGTAAACAAATTGTGGGTTTTTTTAAGAGCAGTACCATAGCTTATGCGAAATTCAGGGAGGCTCAAAATAAGGAAAACCCACTCAGCCTAAAGCAAGAATGCCCAACAAGGTGGAACAGTGCCTATCACATGGTAAAAAGATTTTTGGAAACCAAAGATGCCATATGTAAGGTGTTACTCAACACTCCAAAGGCATTGTCGCCCTTATCAGCGGATGAAATTGTCATTTTGGAAGACCTTGAAAAGCTTTTGTCTCCCTTTGAGCACGCGACTAAGTCCACATCATCGAGCAGCTTGGTCACCGTGTCGATGGTTATTCCAGTATGCTGTGGCCTTCTTCATAACCTTGAAAGCCTCAAAGGCAACCTAGCTACTGAGGAGGGTGAGCGTGCTTGTACGATATTAATATATGGCACAAGAAACCGACTACTTAAGTACGAGTCGCGGTCAAATACAAGAATCTCCACTCTCCTGGACCCCCGATTCAAGAAAGATGGATTTTTATCACCTTTTAATGTCAGCGAAGCAGAGAAATTTTTAGAAAGTGAACTCTCTATGTTCAACGCATTGTCCGAGCCACATCCATCTTCCTCTAACCTGCCAGCACCAAAACCAGCAGTCCAACCCCACCCACTATTCGACTTTCTAAAAAAGAAAAAATCTGAAAAAATTAGAAGCATTCGAGCAGATTCAATTATAGGATTGAAACAATATTTTAACACGGAAAATGTTGAACCAAGTATTTCCCCATTGGACTACTGGAAGGTAAAAATACATAACATAAGAGTAAATCATTTTTAATTAAAACAATTTCTTCACAGATCTCAACTGACAACGCATTTAAAAGATGCGTGAAAAAGTTTTTGTGCGTCCCAGCAACGTCCACAGAAAGTGAACGAATGTTCAGCAAAGCTGGACACATAGTAAATGAGAAAAGGAGTTGTCTCAAGCCGCAGCAAGTAGATATGCTGTTCTTTATAAACAAAAATGATTGGACGAAGTAAATGATCTTATTAAATAATATAATCTTTGTTACATAGTTTAGTTTAGTTTATATGAAACGTTTTTTAATTTTAATAAGAAATTCATCTTTTGTTTTTTATATGAAAACTTTTTTTTTAATTTTGGGAGTTAAAATATGTTTATGAAAATATCGATACATCGATCTGAGACCCATACATAATATCGAAATATCGATCTACGTAAGTTCGATCTTTTCCCAGCACTAGTAAGAAGAGAGTATTCAAGAACCGGGGATACTCGAGTCCATCAGATCTACACAAGGCTATTGAACCGGTTGCAAAAGGTCCTTGCAAGAGTCAAGCAGAAGAAAATTGATAGAATACTAGAAAGTGCGGGCCCTGATACATCCTTCAATTACACACTCTGGAAGCTAACAAGTCGGTTTAAAAGGGTCGCCATACCGAAAATGCCAATAAAAAACTTATCAGGTGGCTGGTGTTATTCCAGTCAACAGAAAGCTGAAATCCTTGCAGACAGCTTAGAGGAAAGATTTAAGCCATTTAATCTTACTTCTGACAGCACAAGAAGAGAAGTTGAGCTAAGTTTAGAGACGCCCTTTCAGATGTCACTACCTGCAGTTCCAGTCACACTCCAAGAGATTGTGCAGCAAATTAATAAACTGAAAATCAAAAAATCGTCTGGAGAGAATTATACTGCAGTCTTGACAAGGAGTCCTAGCATAAACATAGCCACGGAGTCCTTGCAGCATTACGTGAATAGCTTTGAAGGATGGGCTAGAAAATGGAATATAGGCATCAATACCAGCAAGTGCGTAAACGTCACGTTTACGACAAGAACCCTGTCTTGTAGTGGCATTACTATGCTGGGTTCCACAATCCCACAAAAGAGCTCATATAAGTATCTTGGAGTTTTACTAGACAGGAAACTAAACTTTCGGGCCCATACTACCACGGTACAGCAGTCAGTAATGGCGAAAGCAAGAAAGATGACGTGGCTTCTTGCTTCAAAAAACAAGCTATCACTATGTAGCAAAACTTCGATTTACAAGAGTATTCTAAGCCCTATTTGGAGATACGCCCTTGAAATATACGGCATTGCTTCTAAAGCAACCTAAACAAAATTAGAGTTGCCCAAGCAAAGGTTCTGAGGCGAATATGTGATGCTCCATGGTATATGAGAACTCGAGACATCGAAAAGGATCTAAAGGTCCCAAAGGTGGGAGATATTTTAAACGTCTTGACAGTCATACAAATTTATTAGCCAGACGGCTAACTGCCAAGCCGAGGAAGAGACGCCTCAAAAGGTGCCACCCAACAGATCTTCCCAAAAGATAATCCGATAAAATATAAATAAATATAAAAATAGAATATTAGAATAAATAAAAATAAATTAGCATATTAATAATAGTAATAATATTAACATATATATATATATATATATATAATCTAAGTCTATATCTTAGGTCTTTTTTTTTTTTATTATTTTTAATGTAAAACTAGTTTAAGTTGCCACTATGGTAGCAGAAAGCTTGTTAATAAAATATAAACATTTTTACAACAACAAAAAAAAATAAATAAATAAATAAATATTTCGCATATTATCATAATTTAACACATTGAACGGTATGGAGTCCTCCGTAACGAGCCCAATGTATGACCTTATTAGTTGCTTTTTGTTCATTTCAATTTTAATTTTTTTTTTTTCGTATAATTTTAGACGACGAACAAATAGAAGAGTTTTCCAACAGTGCGGAAGGAGGAATCGTTTTCAAATGATGTACATTGACAACATGAGCTTTTAAATTTGAAATTCGATTGGTTTTAACCCTTTATACGGCCTTGTTGCATATCTGCAACATACCGTTTAAATTGAGTTATTTCGCAATGGGTATGAAGAAAGTGGTATGGCAAATTTTTTTGTAAGTCAGAATATGTGTTTTTTTGATTTTTGTAGCTGGTCACACTTGTCCACATGTCTTGCCATACAAATATTAAAATTTCCCGCCAATTTAGTGAATTGTGTATATGGTGTCCAAATCAATTTTATATTTGCAAATTTTTCTAATAACAAAAATTTTTAATTTGCGAACAACTACTTTTTAAATAAGGTAACTATATTAATAATGCGTTTGTAATCAAGTTTTTTGGGTTGTTGTTGTGTATTGTGAGTAACTTTTGAATATCGGTATGTTGCAGATATGCAACAAAGTACTATTAGGACTTCTTTTTTGCACTCTCAATTTTGTTGCATTTATGCAACATACCATTTATTGTGCTTATGTTTTATATGTCACTATATACTTCTTTTGTTGTTTTGTGTCATTATGTGTTGCTATAAATTTATTTTGGACTGTCTTATGTGTTTTATGTTCTTCTTTGAGGCCGACCTACACATATTTATTTTTTTGTAGACAGTATTTCTTACTTAGGAATAATGTCCGCAAGGGGATTGACACCTTCGGAAATCGCAAGATTTTTTAATAGTTTGGAGAGCGAGGACGAATTCGATTTTTCTGCCAATGAAGAAAGTGATTTCGAGCCAGACAAAGAAGAATTGGATGGTACGGATGAGGACATTGATGAGCAAGATGAACGTGCTGACGTTGATGTAACCATTGCTTCAAATAGCACTGGTTCGCCCAAGAACAACCAAAAAAGATCTCTGCTATGGAGACAACGCAACTTATTATCGAATGAATGTCAACTGCGGCTGCTCGCGAGTACTGCCTTGCCTCCTGAAGTAATGGAGCTTTCGGAGCCCATACAATTCATTTCATATCGATCGGCTTTTCAAAATCAGGCCAATTATCCAGGAACTAACAACAATTTTAAAAAAGTTCCTATGGAGCAGTTTTTGTGTGTCGACGAACAGATTTGTTCAACCAAAGCTAGAAATCATATGAAAAGATACAACCCGAACAAGCCTCATAAATGGGGATATAGAATTTATGTTCTTAGCGGTCATTCAGGCTTCTGCTATAAGTTTGAGATAGATTCAGGAAATGAAAACAAAGTTTTGCCTAACGAACCAGATCTAGGTGCGGCATCAAACTGTGTTGTTAGAATGGTCAGAGAAGTGCCCAGGCATCAGAACTTTCGAATTTATTTTGACAATTTTTTCAATTCCCTTTTGTAATACCCCTTTTGAAATACTTAGCGGATGAAGGAATTTTAGCTTTAGGTAATATTCGAAGAAACAGAATTCCAAATGACAAAACAATTGATAATATTAATTTGAAGAAGCATCCAAGGGGTACGTCTGTAGAATATGTCGCTGATTTTGACGGAGTTGACATATCAGTAACATCATGGGTGGATAATAAAGTCGTATCATTGGCATCCAACTATGCTGGAATACTACCAGAGGACAAAGCACGTCGATTCAACAAAGCCAAAAAGGAATACGTAGAGATTGACCGACCCTTTGCAGTAGCCCAATACAATAGCTATATGGGAGGTGTTGATCTGATCGACAGCATTATTGGAAGATATAAAATTTTACTAAGAAGTAGACGGTGGCAGGTTCGCATTTTTTACCATCTACTCGACTTGACAGTGAGTAATGCTTGGCTTTTGTACAAACGCGTTCATAAGGCGAATGCATCAAGCGCTAAACTCTTAGGATCTTCCGAGTTTCGGATAAATATTGCAGAGGTGGTAACAAAAATTGATACCAAATCAATAATGGGAAAAAGAAGTTCTATGCTCGAGAACGAATTGCAGCAAAAGAAAACAAAGAGGTCCTACGCAACGCGTGCCAAATCGAACGGTACGGCAGGATGAATTTGGACATTGGCCTTTGTGGGGTGAAAAACGAATAAGGTGCAAGTACCCGAAGTGTACGGGATTCTCGCAAGTAATGTGTGGGAAATGTGAAGTGGCCTTATGTTTCAACAAGAGAAACAATTGTTTTAAAAATTTCCACTTAAATTAAAGTTTAATAAATATGTATATTATTAAGATAATATGTCGTATAGTCATTAAATAAATATAATAATATGTTAAATAGTTTAAGAATATCCAAATTAAATATTACGTTCTTCTAAATACCCAGAGAACTATGAGTAATTTTTTTCCCCTTAAGCACATCTGTTGCATATCTGCAACAAATCCTTTTTATACCCTGAACCCATTTTCAATGGGAAATCAGGGTATAATGGTTTTGTTGAAATGTATGTAACAGGCAGAAGGAGGCGTGGCAGACCCCACAAAGTATATATATTCTTGATCAGGGCGACGAGCTGAGTTGATTTGGCCCTGTCCGTCTGTCTGTCCGTCTGTCCGTCTGTCCGTCTGTCCGTCCGTCCGTCTGTCCGTCTGTCCGTATGTATGAACGCGTCGATTTCAGAAGATATAAGAGCTAGAGACTTCAAATTTTTTTTAAAATGTCCGTAATTACAGCGCGCATATCAAGTTTATCATTAAAAATCGATAACTCATCCCGATCTTTTTTTATCGATAAAAAACCTTATTGAAAACCAGTTATAAAATTATATCTTCTACACCTTTATTGCTAGAGTCTCCAAATTTTTAATGTATGCTTATATGCAATTTATACAATTTCGGTTTTTGTTAAAATGTACCCCCACATTTAAACTCACCCCCACCCTCACTTTTGTAAAAAGTGTATTTCAAATACTAGAGACTTGTGCTTTGGCAATTACATGCATATTCATGTTATAATCATAATCTAAAAGTTTCATGAAGATCGTACGTCCATAAAAAAAGTTATTAAACAATTAAGTTCTCATAGTAAGCGCATGCGTGTGTATGTGTGTGTATGTGTTTGTGTATGTGAGTGTGTGTATGCGTTTGTGTCTGTATGCGTGTGTGTGTATGTATGCCTGTGTGTGCGTACGTGCGTGTGTGTGTGTGTGCGTGTTTCTTGTGTAAGCTGAAAGACGCGAAAAATTATTGAAATATCTATTGCTCCAAGGGTTCAGGGGATCTCGTAGTCGAGCAGTCTCGACTAGAGCTTTCTTACTTGTTCCTTTATAAAATCGTACTGAATCAAAATTTTGAAAAACCAAAAAAAAGTGTATTTA